AACTGCACCACATTTCTGTGCAAATCACATGCGATTTGTATGCGGTGCGACTGGAGCCATATATTTTGTATGGCTCTAATCGCATCGCACCTGCACCAAAAACGTGCAGGACCCTTTTTTTGGTCCGCACTAGAATAAGATCGCATGGGTATTCACACCTATGCGATCTGATTTTGCACATCCCACCGCATTTTGCGGACCGCTTTCGGGGTGTTGTTAACATACACACCCGCAGTGGTTTGCATGAACGGGGGTGAGATTCTGATGTGGTGCAGAATTCAGACAGAAAACTGCAAATTCTGCACCGTATCAGTGTGAACCAGGGCTTAGAGGCAGAAAAAAACCCTTCTGTTTTGCATTTTTTAGATCATTTTTCTGGCAGAAAAAAACTATAAATGCTCCTAAACACTAGTTAAAAAAAACCGCTCAAAATTAGCATTTTGTTTCCTGCCCTTTTTTTTGGAGCCAATAAGGAACGCATTACTGTACCCCTGGATTAAATGAGCATTTAACGCTTGCAGTGCAGGTAGGCCCTGCTGCAAGGGCAGATTTTGTGTATTTCAGCTTCAATGTGCATGGCCAGCCTTAGTGTGAATGGGTCCGTACAGTTTGTATAAACCCAGTCCTATCTTAAAGGAAAAGTTCACCTTTGACACATTACACCTGTATTTAGGGTGGAACATGTAATATGTTCCAACTCCTGTCCCTTCTACCCCTCAGTTCTCCCTCCCCTATAACAAATGGTAGGGGTTCGTATCCCTGCAGCTCTTGTCAATGCTTTCCAGATTCCTGCAGGAAAAATTAATAAAAGCACATTTTATCTACAAAATATATATATATTCATTCATAAAGATGAACATGGCCTTTAAAGTCATTCTAAAACTAATTTTCAATATTTTTATGTCTGCTGCTATTAAAATACTTGGAAATGTTGCCATAAAGGACAAAGCTTTTTCATTTTGCACTTTTTGTTATAGAGTCACAAATCAGTCTCCTTGTCTTTGAATGGTTCTTCTATGTTGTCACCCTGTCACAAACTCTCCCAATGGGGACAAACAGACATGTCAATGCTCATTACATGGGCATGTTCTGCTGTTGCCATCATCAGGAAACCCACCCTGAGAAAACCCTCAGCAGTCACTGGAGTGCATAAAAACAGGAAGATCCACAGTGATGATATGCAATGGTTACAAATATTTTATTAAAACAAAAGGCAATTGTTTATAATACACTGTGCTATAGCACACTCATTGTGATTCAGGTTCACATCCTTATACACTTGCAAGACATGGGGGTTGATTTACTAAAACTGGAGCTTGTGAAATCTGGTGAGCTGTGCATGGTAGCCAATCAGCTTCTAACTTCAGCTTTTTCAATTAAGCTTTGACAAAAAACTGGATGCTGAATTCAACTGAATGCATTGTCATTTAGGAGTTTGTTTATCCACTAAAATAATCTCCAGTTGCTGACACTGCAGCCAGAAAGACAGACAGAAGACAACCATGCAACAGCCTATTACTTTGCACAGATTTATAACTTATTAATAAACCTGATTCAGCACTAAATGTACAATGTGAAGACTGGGGAGCCTCAGATCTGTAATCAGCTGATCAATAAGCAGAGCTTAGCACACTCAGCTGTTTGACATCAGTGCTCCATCTCCAGCCAATTAGCAGGCAGTCTTGGAGGATTTAACCTTGACAGATGCTAGCACAGCTCAGATTTTCGGAGGCTTTTGGACTGTGAATCTTGGAGGAAGCATGGCAGCTGTGGTGACAAGGGTAGTACTGGAGCCATGTGGAGGGATGTTTGTGAAGTAGCTGGCATATTTAAACCTTAGTGTTTGGCTCATCCACATGTGTAGTATCAGCTGGTGTTGGGACATGGCCCTTAATTTTCTATTTATTAAAATTTTAAGAAATGTAGTTACTTGCTGCACATAATGCGATCTGTACATGGGTCATCAGTTCTCTAACTCATAAAGCTCATTTAAGAAATGCAGAAAGCTAGTATAGTTGCTTGTTATGTGTCAACCTGCCTCCATTTATATAGGTTTACCAAGAACTATGTGATATCATGGCTTGTCTGGCTATAAACTAAATTGGCTCTTTAGAAATACTACTTGCATTTGACTTAAAACTGTGAGTGTTCCATCCTAAATGAAATATATGCTTTTATATACTGTCCAGCATGAGTACCTCCAGCTGACGGGAAAATCAGAATGGTTGGCCACACAAACAGCAATGTAGTAGATGAAATCCTTTTACATGCAATATAGCAACAGGACAGAGGAGCAGTAGATGTGTTTCACATGAACATGTGCCTAGTCATATGGCATGTAAAGGATTTCATCCACCACATTGCTGTTTGTGTGGCCAACCAATGTGGTGGATGAAATCCTTTATTGGAATCCTTAACATGCAATATGACTAGCCACGTGTTCATATGACGCTCATCTAATGCTCCTCTGTCTGTCTTGGAGCTGTCATGTTCTTATCATATTGCATGTAAAGGATTTCATCCACCACACTGCTGTTTGTGTAGTCAACTATTCTGGTTTTTTCCATTGCATCTGTAATCCTGTATTGGGCCAGCACCTGTGTCTGTGAAGGGGTTATGCAGATTTGGCACTCACCTGGAGCGGCTCTTTTGCTCCTTGAGTTGGTCTTTCCTCCAGCTGGTAGACCAGCACTTATTTCTTCCCTGTCATCTATATCTATATCTCTCTTACCTGGGGTAGATTAGAGGCCAGTGAATAATGGCAACCTGTTTTCTGGAGTTGATCATGAGAATCTAATAGTTTGATAACCTACTGGCATCTAGTCCTCTTTTCTGGCACTTTTTTTTTTTTTTTTTTTTTCTTTTGGAATTCTGCATCAACTGTCTTTAAAATGGGCTAGTCTTATTTATTACAGGTACTTGTATAGTGCTGTCATTATGCAGTGATCTAGAGTACCTTCATGTCAGTCCCTGCCCTCAAGGTGCTTATAATATTAGGTCCTTAACCCTTTGAGGACCAAGTGATGTATTTGTTCCATATTTTTAATTGCCTGTATCATCTGTGTGGGGGTTTTTTTTTTTTCAACAAATGGATCTAGCTTTTTGCCAATTTCATGAAATGGCTTAGTTACAGCAACTGAAGTGTACAAACTTTAAAAACTGATTCTTTTGGCATTCTGTAAACTTATGGTCTTCAAAGGGTTAACACATTCATACATACTAGGTCCAATTTAGACAGGAGCCAATTAACCTACCAGCATGTCTTTTGTAGTGTTGGAGGAAACCCACACGGGGACAGGGAGAACATGCAAACTCCAGGCAGGTAGTGCCATGGTTGGGATTCAAAATGGTGATCCTAGTGCTACTAGGGAAGCTATTTCTGCTTTCAGACTACCAAAAAGTACTAGAAGCTACTGCTGGGCTTCTGAATATTTGTTTCCTGGTTTACCTCTGATTCACTGTAGGTGTTCAGAAAATGAAAACTCTACATCTGCATATCTGTTCTAGGTCAATTCGACATGCAAAAGAACTGATATTCCCTAGAATATTAAACTATCAAATGGGTTCTCTAAATGGTTAAAATGTATTAATAGCAAAGCTTTCATTTTGGCTAGCATTAGGCTGCATTCACACTTGCATTTTGTAGCTCGAAGCTCTAAAAACAAAATTCACACCTGATCATGCAAACGGGCAGCTTTTCTGAACAGAAAGTGAATCTCTACAATGGGCAGACAGCAAAAACTGACATGTTCTAATATTCATTCTAGCTAAAAGGCTTTGGTTTTAGTTGCACTTAATAGCCAATTGCATGCCTTTGTATGGTGGGGCAGATGAAAATGAATTTGGAGGTAGGGGATCTGGGGCAGATGAAAATTTAGATTTGGGGGGGTGGGGAGTCTGGCTTTGTCAATCTTTCATCTGATCCCTGAAATATTGCTATTTTCAGAGTATGCGACTCAATGGAGAGAATAAAATGGAGACCACAGCAGCTGCAAAGAAGGTTGTACTGTTGAAGCCACGGCAAAGAAATGCCCTGGGGGATATCGGGAAACTGCCTTAACAGAGCCAAACCAGCCTTAAAAAAGGTAAGACCTTGCCTCCATATACCTTCAACCTAATTGCTCTTGGCATTTAGTTTCCTGTTCATGTTTGTATTCCAACCCTGATGGAAATAAATGTTGAGGGAATCTTTATACAATAGAAGGCTGGATACACCCTTGCATTACCATCAATGACATTAAGCCTGTGTCACTGCATCAAACACTGACCTGTATGTCTGTTTAAAACCTCACTGGTGTGAATGGGTCCCTAAACATGTTTCTTTTGACACAAATGTTCCTAATTGCATTCATCTATACAGTCATGGTTTTGAAATCTTGGCATAATTGTATGTCTATTGCAGGAAAGCAAAGCTATAAGAACTGATGTGGTGGAAAAGGTTGCCAAGCCAGTTCCTGCAGAGGAGGAAAAGGTGATCTACAGAATCATGTAGCTACAACTGTTAAAGCCAGACTGCCCAAAACTGATGCTGCCCTAGCATTTTAACAGACATTTGACATTACTAGGAATATTTAATTCTATACACCTCCTGTGGCTGTTGGTTTCCCACTGTTGGTGTTTGTTAAGAAGGTAGCAAATGCCCAGACATCACAAGGATGTAGCAGTGTCCAATGCTAGAGGGCTTGGTTTATCTAAACCAAGTCCTTTGGGTTACCTATTGGTACATTCTGAAACTAGAAGCTGGGCATATTATCTAGACTGCTTGCAGTAAAAGCAAAGCCTGCCACTTCCAATCCCTATTGGTCATTGCAGCTCTTCACATTAACGAAATGTCAATAGGAAAGGTAACATTTTGCACGTATCTATATAATTTTGGCAGGCTTTGCAGGAACAATCATCACCAATCAGTCATTGGTTTCAGTCTGTTAAAATGAAATGGCATCTCTAATGTATTCTAAAGTAGCTTGTCTTCTTAGCCTGTTCCAGTGCCTGTGAGCCCAATGAGCACATCCTGTCTTTCTCCAATGGAAGAGCAGAGTGAGGCCTTCTCAGATGCTCTGCTGCAGATTAAGGATGTGGATGAAGATGATGCTGACAATCCCATGCTGTGTAGCGATTATGTGAAGGATATCTACTGTTACCTGAGAGACCTGGAGGTGAGCACATCTGCTGCAGCAAATGGGCAGCATATTTACATGCAGTTCTTCTGGCATTGAAGTCTTTTGAGCTAGTATTTTCCAGGAAATGTAGGCTCTGACTAGCTGCAGTCTCTAATGCACATACGGTGTGCGGAGCAAGCAACTTCATTGTCCTGTAAAACAAAGGCTGCAGAGTTCAGTGCATGTACATGCAGTCAGAACCTTTCAAGCTTTAAGGTTCTATCTGTCACCCTTTTTGCTGGGGATTCCATTGTTTGTCCTTGTGACTTGTCAGTGATGGCAAATGCAAAACTGTAGCTTTTGCAGCACAGAATAGGTGTGGGATGGTAGTCTAAAATGGAACCTTTCTACAAGTTGCAATAATGGCTCCAATGTAATGTACCCCCCCCCCCTCTTGATTTATCCAATTGCACCTATTTAGACAGCGCAACATTTCTACTTGTTATGAAGCTATGTCTTGCCAAATGGCTATTAAATACTTAATACTCAGAGTTAGATTGCATCAACTTTTTACACCAGTTAATTTAATCTAAAACTTGTTTTGTAGGCTGAACGTGCAGTCAGGCCAGACTACCTCAAAGGTCAAGAGATAACTGGGAATATGAGGGCAATTCTTGTTGACTGGCTGGTGCAAGTTCACATGCGGTTCAAACTGCTTCAGGAGACTATGTTCATGACAGTCTCCATTTTGGACAGATTTTTACAGGTGAGCTTTTAACGCTTGTCACCAAAGCAACTACTGGGGCCTTCAGCGTATGCATTCTTCTAGAGAAGGGGTTTTCAAACTATGGTCTTCCAGCTGTTGAACTCCCATGTCGCTGTACCTGTCAGGTTTGCAGTGGCTCAGGACTTCCAGCTCCCAACAGCTGGAGGGCTGTGGTTTGGGGAAACAGAGCCACAAGTCTCTATAGATGCAAATCACTCAACTTCTGGGCAGTGGGAGTAAACACAGGCTTGGCAGGAGCTCCTACCATGTGGGGGTGTTTTGTTTTTTTGTTTTTTTTTTTTTTTTTTTTTTTTCTCTCCAGTCTCTACCCCTGTTGGAAGATCCCTCCTATTGTGCTTTCTATTTATCACTGAAGTTAAAAAAAAAAAAAAAAAAAAAAAATTGGTATGTCCCCAGAACAGTAATGGCAGATTCACAATGTCCTGATATGCTTTGGGTGTAGTATAACCAGTTTTAGTGCAGGAATAGACTTCTATTTCACTGTTTGAGCATTTCAGAAAATGCACCAAAACAAATTGCCATAATGGCTTATGGTAAAGCACTGCTAACCCACAAAGGCCAAAGCGCAGCAGTTTAGTATAAAGCCACTATTAAAGGGGGGATTACAGCATTTATTCACACAAATGTGACAACTTCTTGTATTGGCTAGAGGGCTGCTTTAGTAGCTTTCATAAACTAATTCAGTACTGATGGCTGGGTCCCAGGAATACACAAGACGGGCATGGCTTCAGTGCATGCATTTGTCATTCTTGACTAGAGGCGGATCTCCCGGTATAGGCCAGGGTTTGTCAGCTGTCATGCACAATGCAGGAGATCACCTGATGTGGAGGCAGAATAGGTTTCTGAAAGGGGGTCAAGATGACAGGTCAGCTGCGAATAACCTACAATAGCTGCTCATCTGTGTGCCTGAACTACTAACCCCAGTTGGAATGGGGGGGTTAGCTCTTGGGCATTCACAAGTGTAGTCTGCTTGCGCTGGGGGTCTGGGTGGGCACAAGTAAACTGAATTGTTGGCTTGTATCTGCTTGGAAGGCAAGACTACCTGCAAACTGTACCCCCAATTTCATTACAGCAACTTGGTGGAAATTTTATGAATTTGCAAAATGAACTTTTTTCATGATATGCTAAATTGACCTTTGTTCAATATAGGTAAACCCTGTGCCAAAGAAGCTACTGCAGCTTGCTGGTGTGACTGCTATGTTCATTGCATCTAAATATGAAGAGATCTATTGTCCCACAATTGGAGATTTCTCATTTGTTACTGATCACACCTATACAAAATCGCAGATCAGAAACATGGAAATGCAGATTCTAAGTGTTCTGAATTTTGATATTGGAAAGCCTTTACCACTTCACTTTCTAAGGAGGGCATCAAAGATTGGAGAGGTGAGGCTTTAGTCTTTTATTTTGGGGGTTTAATGTCTGTCTTGCTACCCTAGACTAATGTAGGTCTCCACCCATATAGGTTTAGGACACTGGACAAACTTGCCCTACAGTGTCAGTGGAATATCCACTTCTGTCTTGCACCCTAGCTGTATGGCCATTAATTGATCAGTGTTTTGTATAACTACTTTAAGAGCTATAGGTTTTGTTAAACTTGGGACACTAATTTATTACAAGCATGTGTATTATGCACAGATGGGAAATGCCATCCTAAGGACAATCTGGGTTGCTGAATCTTTAAAAAAAATTTTTTCTCATAGGTAGAAGCTGCTTTGCATACCCTGGCAAAGTATCTAATAGAACTGGCTATGTTGGACTATGACATGGTGCATTTCCCACCTTCACAAGTAGCAGCTGCAGCCTTTTGCTTGTCCCAGAAGGCTTTAGATGGAGGAGAATGGGTAAGTTCATGCTGTACAGTTTGTGAAACTAGTTCAGTAATTTGGGAGACGTTTGTGCCCCTAGTCCAGTGATGGTGAACCTTTTTGAGCCCAAGTGCCCAAACTGCAACCCAAAACCAACTTATTTCTTTCAAAGTGCCAACACTGCAATGAAACCTGAATATCGAGCTTTTGGTTTAGAAAAAACAACTCGTACAGTAGTGCAAACTAATTAACAGCACAGGGATGACCAGAGACTGCGGACACAGCACAGGGATGACCAGAGACTGCGGACACAGCACAGGGATGACCAGAGACTGCGGACACAGCACAGGGATGACTGCTGACCTTTGGGGAGGGGGAGCGGGTACCTGAATTTGACAGGTACCCGCTCTTGCTTCCGCAGAGTTTTTTTTTTTTTTTTTTTTTTTTTTCTTACCTGTTCCTTTATCCAGCCGCACGCTGTCTTCCCGGCTTCTGTAGTGTGGGCGCTCGTCGGACAGCCGGATGCCCAGTGCGCATGTGCGAGAAGCGCTGCGCTTTGTGATTGGTCCGGCGGCTTCTGGGATCTGGCATGTGTCCCAGGTACCGCCTTACCATTCACAAAGAGCACTGCTTCTTGTGCATGCGCACTTGGGACCCGGCTGTCACGCACACTACAGCCGGGAAGACAGCGCGCCGCTGGATTCTCCTGGCGTGCCCACAGATAAGGCTCGGCGTGCCGGCTGTGGCACGCGTGCCACAGGTTCGCCATCACTGCCCTAGTCTATATAAACTCCTTAACGACATCCTATAGTCTCCTTATCTTCCCTCATGGCATATAGTGGACAGCATTATATCTGATCAGGAAAACCTTACTAATGTTCTAAACCAGGGGGCTTCAGTGGGGTTCTCTATAGTATAGGAGGGGCATGACAAGTGCTCGCCCCAAGCATGATACCGGTCTTTCAAAAACTGCAATGTATGTCAATGGTTTTTTTTTTTTTTTTTCAGACTCCAACTCTACAGCACTATATGACCTACAGTGAGGGCAGTCTCATCCCAGCCATGCAGCACTTGGCAAAGAATGTCCTGAAGGTCAACAAAGGGCTCACAAAGTTTATGGTAAACATGTACTCCACACAGTAGATTTGGTAGGTGATGGAAGCTGGCTTCAGGGTAATACTGGCCAACCTGCAGACTGTTGGCAAGAAATTTATAGTGTTTCTGAATTGGCACTCATATCTGGCTGACACTATTGATGGCTGTAAAGCATTGTGAGATGGCCAGTAGAGAAATGCATATAGTAAGATACATGGTCTAGAGAGGGACTGCTTGTTTGGTACAATCACTGATGAAGGGTGTTGGGGTCCCACAGGGCAGGAGTGGTAAGGCTCTTCAGATACGATCTGTCCTTTCTACTGTTCCTGTAATTCAGAGCAAGATTTCAGCTGTGCTGACACAATGAATCCCATTGCTTATAGTTGACATGTCAAAGGAACCATTCCATATCTATACTGACAGGAAAGGATGGCTAGGAAATATGCCATCAGCAAAAGGCTGCTACTAGAAGTTCACACAATAAAAGGGTGAATATTCAGCTTAAATATCTTGCTGATGCCCAATTTTTAAAGGCTTACAATTTGTGCATGCATAAAGGGCCAACTAACTTGGCTTCCTGTCTTGTCATGCTGCATTCCTACTTCAAAGCATTTGTCTCATGTAGGCTGAGCCTGCTTGTCCTACAGTAGGATAAAAAGTTGCAGGAGTTGTGGTGGTCAGAATTTTACTGCTGACTTGCCCCCTTTACACCTCAGTAACCCATATGTGCAGTGGCAAAAGGCTGGACTTTAATGCCTACAGGCCCAACACTTGCATTGTTGGGTGGACTGAGTTTGTGCTGGAAGCACACTCCCAGTACAAAAACCAAGCTGCCAAAAATGGATCTCGCGTAAACACTGGTAGCCAGTGGGACTGACTTCATTTTGTGACCACTGACAGCAAGTCGGTCTCATGATCTCTAATCCTTCCCACCATCAAGCATTAATAACGTTAACCTCCTTGGCGGTATTCCCGAGTGTAGCTCGGGGTAACATTTCAGTACCAAGAGCGGTAACCCTGACCTACACTCGGGAATACCATGCGGCACTGCTCTGGCATTTGTTCACTTACCTTACCCTGCGCTCCCATGATGTGTCCCCTGCAGCGTCCCCGGCCATCTCCTTCGGCCGATGCCGGCTTCTGTGTCCTGTCCCTGTGACGTCAACGTACGGGCGGCGGGAAATTTAAAAATTTTAAATGGTTGGTTTTTTGTTTGTTTCATAGTAAAACATTGCTTTCTCAACCAATTTCACATACATTTTGTCCCTAGTGCTTTGTCCTGCGCCCCGCCTGAATTTTGTCTTCTTTCTGCCTGGAAACTGAGAAACCTCCATGGCGTCCAAAAAGTGTCCCTTTAGGTCAAAAGTGGGTTTAGATCAGCTAGAGAACAGCGATAGTAAATCGGAACCACTTGCAGAATTGAGTGATAATGATTCGTGGGCAAATTCGTCAGACACGGAAAACAATTCTGTGACTTTGCTCAGCAATGTGTGAACTTGGCGCTCTATTTCAAATTTCAGTGTTTTCGGTTTGATTATATTGAATTAAATGTAGTAGTTTATTTTTTTTATGATTTATTAAATTATAATTTATGATTGTTTCAAATTTGATCATACCCGGGATGTTTAATAGACTCTTGTTCGGACAGATTTCAGTGAGTTATTCCTAAAAATTACAGCCTACAAAAAAACTACATATTTCCATGCAAAATAATGGTACCGCTTTCAGCACCAAAAATATGAAATAAGACCGCTAGGGAGGTTAAGGATGTCCAGGTGGGAAGGGGTTGTAGCTTGTCAGTTGGCACAGACTACCATTAAGTGGGTGCACTGTCTGTAGCTGAAACCTCCCACTTTGAGCTGTAGTGTCTGGGATAGGAGATGCAACACGCATGACTAAGCCAAATTCCTTCATCTTAACTGGATTTGGTTCTTTGACAGGTTTGAACTGACTATGCTACAGAACTTGTGGTGGTAACCTTTTGTTTCTTGCAGGCGGTCAGAGACAAATATGCCAGGAGCCAGCAAATGAGGATCAGCTGTCTACCCCAACTCAATTCAGAATTTATGGTGAAACTTGCCAAAAATGTATGAAATAGTGACTGAATTGTACTCCTATAAACATGATGCACTTAACTTTTTAACCTTTTTTTTAAATTTTTAATAAACACTCTAGATCTAAACATGTGGCTACAGCTTTTTATAGTATTTATTATATTTCAGGTATTTACATAACACTGTCAATTTACACAGCACTTTACATATATAGTACATTCACATCAGTCCCATACACTCCTTGGCTTGGATCATACAATCTAAGGTCCCTAAACTCACATTCATACATACACATACTAGGGACAATTTAGACAGGAGCCAATTAACCTACCAGCATGTCTTGTGAGTGTGAGAGGAAACCCAGTCACATGGAGAACATGCAAACTCCAGGCAGGTGGAGCCATGGCTGGGATTTGAACCAATGACCCGAGTACTGCCAGGCAGAAGTGCTAACCATTTGGCCACTGTGAGATCAAACTATAGACTATCAATACATGACAGCTCCCGCCAATGCAGCAAGTGCTCAATTTCTCCATGGCGGAAAAGAAAATCCCAAAGTGCAAATTGACTTTTGTGACGTCATAGCATTTACAAAGGGCATCATAGAGTGAGTGTCAACTTACAGCAGGACTGCAGCAGGCATTCTGACACGGGGGGGGGGGGGGGGGGGGGGGGGGGGGGGACGACGCTGATTTGGTGTTACTGACATCTCCAGTGACGGTGATTAGAGCTACTAAGCAGGAAGGGGTCAACATGTGGGGCAGTCAAAGGGTTAACTGTAAGCACTGCTTTGTATTTCTATGCAGAGGCATATAAACCAGTGTTCAGGAGCTGACAGGGGTGGTGTCAGTGTCACTGCCATTCACAGCTATCAATCACTGGGTCCTGGCCAGTAATCGCCAAGCATCTCCAGGAGAACTATTTGCATGAGCTGCAGGAAGAACTGGTTTACACACTGATTTGGATGGCTGTGCACAGCCATACAAAGCAGTGTGATAACTGTGCTGGGTGTGTTTTTTTAGCTTCACTGTAAACTGCCCTTCAGTTTAACCCATTCCTGTCCAGTGCATTTGGGGTTTTTCCCATAGTGCAAAAAATGCACAGGTGATGAAATGCCACCAAAAGCTAAATTTATGGGGAAAACTCCATAAATTTAGGTACAGCATTGCATGATCATGCAATTTGTCAAAGTAACAGTGCCACAATGCAAAAGTGGCCTGGTCAGGAGCCAGGAGGGGGGGGGGGGGGGAGGGGGGGGATCCTCAGGAGGGCAAGTGGTTTACACGCATGACATGCATTTTGCCATTTTGCCACACTATCTTGGGTGTGTGGGTTTTTGGCACATTAGTAGCATAATTAACAAATGATAACCTTAGCAAAAGGTGCACTGCTGATGTGAATGGATCCTTAAAGAGAACACCAACAATACTGTGTATACAGTTAGTTATTTATATTCTAATCTAACTTTAATTTAACATCAATATGACCCCCCCCCCCCCCCCCCCCCCTCCCATAAAGTAGTCATCTCTGTAAAGTGACAGCAGGTGTATCATGTGAAGAACATGTTCTCCACATCTCAGCTTCATAAACTGGCACACCTGAGATCATCTAGGATCTCAACTTTTCTTTCTCAAACACCCACCATAGTGGATTGAAAGGGCAGGCATAGCTAGTGCTATGTTCAAACTTCAGGCTGAACTCAGTGGAACAGTGTGGCTGGCTGTAGTTCTAGAAGCACAGCAGGCTTAGTCATACTAAACCCAAAGCAAACACTTATTATTTAGCTTGCCATTTCTTAGACATAATGGCTGGCGTGTGTGGTGGTTTTATTGTGAACCAGTCTCATTCAAAAGAACAAGGGTGCTTGCAAATGTATCAGGTCCTGAGACATACTAACAAAGTATTTAGCTGGAGTGGGCTTGAATTTGCACGTACATCTAACAGCTCTGTGACCTTTCACCCCCCCCCCCTTCCCTTCTGCTTTGTGACCAGAAACTGCAATCCACCAGCCCTACATACATAATTTGTCATATTTAAACAATTTGCTGTGTGGGGGGGCCGGGGGGGGGGGGGGGGGGGGGGGTTTCCCTACATCAGTCATGCTAGTTTTGGGTAACTGCTAGCAAGGTACTTACTCAAATTTCATTTCCTAGTGATGAATCTCTACCATATATCACTCTGTTCATCTTGGTCAGCAGGATGTCACATCTTTACACTGTAACTCGGTATGTCTAACTGGATGATTAAGTCATCACCAGATGCATGAGACCAGAATCCCCACCCAGATCTACTCCTTGCCCCATCAACATGCACCTACTGCATGGGTTTTCATGAGTGGGGTCTCCTAGCACCATACTTTCCTTTCATACTACAAAATGAAAGTTAGTAGGCCATTTTTCCCTCCAGGTTAAATACCATGCAAAATCATGAAAATACCACATTATGACCTCCTAGATGGAGCTATCATGGTAAATATTTCCTATGGTCATTGGTTCCATCTATATTGTGGTATCCTCCACCTTATCGCATGGTAAAAATCTAGTGATTCTTATAAAGGCACTTCTTAAATATGGGTGAGGTTTGTGTTTTGGCACGAACATGGCTTAGTGGGAAAGCCCTGGGGTTTGTAAAGCACAAAGTAGTGGCTGAAAATTTTGAAGATTGACTGCATGAAATAAGAAATGGCCATTTCCCTGGGGGGAAAAAAAGAAGCCAATAATTTGAAGTACAGTATAGCTTGGCCTTAAAAAAAAAGTGTGCTCACAGTAGCCACATTGTCAACATATGTTTGAAGTTGGTAGGAACAGTCCTTTAGCTTCTGTGGGGGGGAATGTAGGTTTGCATTGCACTTAATGTCTTTTCCCCCCCCCCCCCCCCCCCCCCCCCCCATATGGCAGTGTCTGGCTTCCCATGCCTTTTGTGTAATCATTTCTTAGCTCTGCAAATTGACCACCAAAATTCTCCCCATAGACCTCAATAGGTTTCTTTCCAAATTTGGCATACAATTTGTAGATTGAAGTGTTTAAAGTTGTCCTAAAGCTGATCATAGATGTGTTGTATGGGGGTTTTTGTTTTTCTTTCAGCCAGCAGGCTCAATGGTAAAACTAACAGATACACTCCAATCGCATTTGTGAAGTAGATGGAGGGATTCCCCACTCAGGACACTGTATTTAGACAGCAGGATCCACTGCCAACAGAATACACTGATCAGAAATTTGTCATCAAACTATCAACTTCTGTTAGAGGAAAGCCACACCCTTATTGAAATCCTGCTGAACACCCACTTCCACCTAGCAGCACTAGAGTCATTGGTTCAAATCCAAACCACAGCACTACCTGCCTGAAGTCTGCATGTTCTCAATGTTGGTAGTTTAATTGGCCCTACTAGGTGTAGGTATCAATGTTGAGGACCTTAGAATGTAAGCTCCTTGTGGGTTAGGGTCTGATGTGAATGTACAATATATCTATAATGTAAAAGTTGCATAAATTGACAGTGCTATATGCATACCCTTCATAATCTATAGCCAGCTTAGCTGAGGAAGGATGTTCATCTTCACTGCTCTAAAAGAATCCCTTACACAGTTTAAAAATTGAACAGATTATCCAACTACACTGTAGCTATATGTATTCATCAGAGACCTTAGATTAAACTGGTTTTCCTGATAATACAGTCACTTTTGATTGATTTGTGATTCAGGGACCTTTTTGTTTCCAACTACTTTCCCCCTTTATAAAGTCTCCTTGCTGCTCTTATGAAATACATGCTAATGATACCGCTTACCAGGAAGAAAGATCAAACAAAGGGAGGATTAAACAGTTTGTACAGTTTAAGATAAAACTGCTAGGCAACTTTTGTGAAGGCTCTTTACAAGGTGGAGGAGGTACTTACTCCCTCCCTCATAGCAACCAATTCTACTGAAATACAAGACCTCAAACATTGAGCAATGTAGACATCCACTATACATAACATGTATCCACACACTACTGGTTTTGTATCTTACAAAAGAACATTTTAGATAATCAATATCATCTGAAGGTTCTAGCAAGAAATCATGCTCTTCAAACAGCCACTGACTATGATCTGCTAATGGACATTTGAACACCATGGGCACCCGGAGGAAGAAAGTCAGCTTTAATGAGAAGCCTGTGTTTTGTAAGTACAATTTACAATGAATGGAACATTATCATTGTTTGTTCTCAAAATAAAATTGAACAAGGTACCTTTTTAATGGCAGCAATGCAATAGGATATTATTTGGACAATGTGCCCTTGTAATCAAGAATGACTGCAAGAAATGGTCTTCCTTTATTTTTTCAGCTTGTGTACATCTTCATAAATATCTACATAGCCTGTCCCTTTCCTGGTCAAACAAATTCCATAGACTCTTTCTGCAGGTCTGTTCATGCACATAAAAAGCTGGCCATACACTATGAAAAATGGTTTGTCAGAGTATTCAACCTTACCTTCATTAAGTTAACTAACTTGAAGGCCCCTACAGATTTTTGCAGATCTGCTACTTGAATAGAATCCCAGATGTATTAAACAGGTTTCTTTTGTTCCTAGAACATATGCATTGCAATATGTACCATTTTTTCCCTAAACAAAATCCCCATTCACAGTTACAGCGAGTTCATCTGTGATGGGCATTACCAGAGAAATCTATAACAAATTATAAGCAGTGACTACTAAATATATATAACATTTCTAAACTAGATACCCCAATTTGAACAGTAATTCATAAACAAACTACATATAACATCAATATTACTGCATAACTAAAGGCAAAACTTTTTTAAGTTTTGGATAGAGTGGAGTGGGATTAGAATACCTGTCAGTTTTTATTGCTGTCTGTGTCCTCATTAAGAAGATTCATCTCTATTTATACTGTTTACCGTTATCATTGAAAGTAAAGAAAATCCCAAATTTTGGGTTGTCCCCAGAAAAGTAATAGCAGGGAAATCTTCCATTAAGGACATTAGTTCTGGTGACCTAGGGGGTCCCCAAGGAATTCCCTTAATTTGCAGAGATTTCCTGTTTTG